AACAAATCGAATGTCGCATTAAATCAAGTCAATCCATCATCATCATTTTATGTTAACACTACCTTACCTAATGTTACATGCATTACAGATATACAATCGGATCAAATAAATGCTTTGTCATTAAATACTGGGGTTACTCATTCATTATTATCTTCAGCAGAAGTTACTTCAAATAGACAAATTGATCAATTAAATATGTCATCATTACATATTAGAGACACCGTCACATCATCATCATCATCACTGTATGTTAATCCTTCAGGGTCAGAAGACAGAATCGGACAATTTGATCAAGAAGATCGTTCAACATTAACTGACAGAGATTCCATCCATACATCATCATCATCCTTATATGTTAATACTTCGTTCTCACATTTATCAGCTTCAGATCACACAAGCTCATCAAATACACAATTGAATCAGTTCAATCCTTTAGCATTCCGTCATGGAGAATCCGTCTTATCGAAACAATTAAATTCTAATAATTCTGTACCAATAAAATCAAATATTCCAGAAGTCACGCCTGAAACAAATCAAGAATCTGACCAAGTAAATTCTTCATCATTGCGTTCTTTGCAAGTTCATCAACCAGAAGTAACGTGTGCATTAAATCGTCAAGAAAATATTTCACCATCAATCTATAGAGGTTCAATGCCATCAACATCATACAATGTTAATGCTTCTTTACCAGTTCGTAAAAAAATAATATTAAATGTTCCAGAAGTCAATACTGTCAAAGGCTCTTCGAATTCACAATTGAATCAGTTCAATCCTTTAACATTCAACTGTGGAGAATCTGTACTATCGAAAATATTAAATGCTAATAATTCTTTGCCAGTTAATCAACCAATAACACCAAATGTTTCAGAAGTTACACGTGAATCAAACCAAAAATCTGATCAAATACATTCTTCACCATTACGCAATAGAAATGCAATGCCATCAACACCATTTAATGTTAATACTTCTTTGCAAGTTCGTCAACCAGTAGTAACATATGCATCAAATCGTCAGGAAGATTCTTCATCATTAATCAATAGAAATGCAATACCATCAACATCATTCAATGTTAATAGTTCTTTGCATATTCAACAACCAATACCACCAAATGTTTCAGAAGTTACACGTGAATCAAACCAAAAATCTGATCAAATACATTCTTCACCATTACGCAATAGAAATGCAATGCCATCAACACCATTTAATGTTAATACTTCTTTGCAAGTTCGTCAACCAGTAGTAACATAT